CTGAGTGTTTGCCCGGTGAATGAGGGCGCTCGGCCGAAGCATGCGCCGCTCGGCCGGGAGCCTCCAATTGCCCCGGCGCTCGGCCGGTAATTTTTGCCTGAGAACGTGTTGCTGCCAACGTTGCCAGTGTGTTAGTCACACGTGGCACGTCCGCGACGCCACAAGGGTAGCACGAGCTGTGGAGGGGACGATACCGGCGGTGACTACATTCATCGGCTGAGCGCCCATCAAACCGGCCGGGCGGAATACAGTCAAAAGCCTGACGACTAACCCTCGATCGACCCGCGGGAGATCAATGGTGTTCAGTTCCGCTGACAAGCCAATATTTCACACGTCGACACTTGCCAAAATCTGGCTTATCAGTGCTATGCTAGCTTAATTCATTCATTCACGCTTGCTCATTGTCTTTAGACGCTTGCTTTGAATACTCACCTTAATTCATTCGTCACTTACGCTTGCTTCACTTCACTATTTCGATTAAGTATGAACGACGAAGCGGCATGAGAAGCGACAGGAGGATGCTCATCAGCTACATTCAATAGCGTTGCAAACAAGGATGTGAATACTTTTCAACTTTTGATCGCAAAGTAACAAATGTCCGCGAGAAGCGCGCATCGTGAACTAATGCAAGTTGCTCTTTCGCGCGGGACTTTCATCAGTAAAGCGCGCAATCCCATAAGTTTTATCGCGAGATAAGTGGAATTAAAAGAAAAGAAACTCTTGGAGAAATCATAGAAAACAACAACGGCGATTTGACTATCAAATTTTTAGATAGTATACCTTTGTTTGCGAAGCTTGATTATGCACGATTTTCGTAAAACCTCATGAATAAGCCAGCTTCTGCAAGCTGTTCAGCTTCTGACGTTAAGTGTTTAAAAAGCTCTGCATAAACCGACAAACCCCCACCTTTTACTTTTCATGCGTTTGATACTCAACCAAAGTTTTTACTTTTGCGTGCTTACGATGACTAAGCGAGTTTAGGACCTACACTTCTTTTCTTTTACTTAATTGGTAAGTTACTCTGCATGATTATCTTGCCACAAAACCGCAGTCAAAGAAGCGGGACTTATGCACCACCAGTGCATGCTCAAACTAAGTCCCTGTCCCTTCGAGTCATTATCAGGGTTGAGCGTGGGGTGTGACACGCCACACCTGGGGGGTCGTATTGAGGAGTCGAAAGGGGAGGGGGTCGTAGTTGGGTAATCTGATAATAGTGATAACATGATATTCGTATCATATCCGTAATAAGCATGTCAATTAACCCTTGCAAAGTTTGACGAATTCTGAAGATTCAAAATACTAGGATACTTAGGCGAAATGGTCATATTTCAACATTTAATTTTGTTTCAAAGGTGAAATAGCCATTTGTTTTTGCACTTATGACAAAGCACTACTCCTTCTTTGTCCACCTCAAAAATCCCGCTTCAAAAGCCCTTAAAACTGTGGAACTATTAGGTTGTCCGAAAATTAATGCAGGTTTTGACTTCCAACCGCAATAAGTCATATATTTCTCATTTTTGAATAGGTTGCAAGGTACTGTTCGATAGAGCAAAGCATGCTCTACAAGAGGGCAACCTTGCTTTAGCGACAGCTCTGATCCACCACGAGTTTCGAGCCAAAAATTAAAAAGATTCAACTGCCCGAAAAATTGTAAAAAATCGTAACTCAGTTCGTAAAAATTCTACAAAAATTCTAACTTGCTTACGTAAACACAATCCACATAAGGCATCTATGCACGCCGTTGCCGTATTTTTTTCTCTGTTAGAAATCAAGAAAACGGAAATTTTCGTGCATTTGCAAATGGTGCTATGCCGTTCCCACATATGCAGTTGTGTACTACAAACCTTTAAAAGTAAAAACGTAAATTTTCAGCTCTCTGCAAGCTTTAGTTCTTGAGAAATTTGAATTTTAGCTTGGACCACATGACTAGGGAAAACTGTATTCAATATTTCTCGAGAACTAAAGCTTGTAGAGAGGTGGAAATTTACGTTTGTACTTCTAAAAGTTTGTAGCATACAACTACCTATGTGGGAACGGCACAGCACCACCTTAGCAAATGCACGAAAATTTTCGTTTTCCTGGGTTAATAGAGAAAAAAATACGGCAACGGCGTATATAGATGCCTTATGTGGATTGTGTTTACGTGAGCAAGTTAGAATTTTTGTAGGATTTTTACGAACTGAGTTACGATTTTTTACAATTTTTCGGGCAGTTGAATCTTTTTAGTTTTTGGCTCCAAACTCGTAGTGGATCAGAGCTGTTGCTAAAGCAAGATAGCTATCTTGTAGAGCTTGCTTTGCTCTATCGAACGATACCTTGCATCTTATTCATAAATGACAAATGTATGACTTATTGCGGTTGGAAATCAAAACCTGCATTAATTTCCGGACAACTTAATAGAGGCCAACCAAAATCTCATCTTTTGCACAGCTACAAGCACAGCCATCAAAAGCGAAAAATGGGAAAAATGAAATTTTGGTTGGCTTCTAATTCCACAGTTTGGAGGTCTTTTGAAGCGGGATTTTTGAGATAGACAAGGAAGTAGTAGTGCTTTGTCTGAGTGCAAAAACGGATAGCTAATTCACCTTTGAAATAAAGTTAACCATGTTGGAATATGATCATTTCACTTGGGTAGCTTAGTATCTTGAATCTTCAGAATTCGCTCAAACTTTGTCTACAGGTGTTAATTGACACGCTCATTATAGATATGTTGCCCATTATGTTCGACAGGGCGTTCAGGTAATGCTATCCTAGGTATGTAATTCAGGGGGGGGGGGGTCTTATTAAGACAGCAATCAGGGGGGGGGGGGTCGTAATCAGCGATCGTGTACCACATCCCTTGCTTGACCTTGGTCATTATCCTGATGAACAATAGGTAGTGTTTTGATTTTGACGTTATGGAGCAGGTTTCATTTGCAAAAGTGAAAGGAATGGTGTGAGTGAGGAGCAAAGAGGAAGAGAGCATGCAAGTGTCTAAGGCACATATTTTAGACTTATCCTCCATTTATGAGTCATGCATGAAGGCTTAACAAAGCGGATTTGTTACACAACCATTGGTTGATTAGCATAACGCTCTCCTAAGCTGGGATATTGTGCTATAATGTAATTATCTCCACGAAAAAATCAAAGCTATAGACTTTGGGCGAATACACTTTCTTGCCCACAAGCTACTACCTACCTCTGTAATAAGTGAAATAAAGGTTTACTTCTCGCTATGATTGGCTTATGGTTTACATCGTATATTGATAGGCTGAAGGTTGCAAGCCTCAGAAAGACAGGAGAGTAGAGGGCGGAAATGTTCGATAGGATGGCACATGTGAGGATTGCGTAAGGCATCGTCCAGACCGCTCCGCTACCGCCCGAATCCGTCCAAACCGCCTGAGACGCCGGAACTGCCAAAGCACAGAAGAGCAAATCGGATAGTAGCACGCGTGAAATACTGCGCGTCATGCATATATCACATCTTAATCACATCTTAGTTTAGTATCTTATGGTCACGTAACTCGACGTAACATGCCAATTTTCTTTTTCAACTACGAGGATTCTGTAAAGATCAATCGTGTGTCTTTCCTGGATTTCGTCTCATATTGGCTGAATTTAAGTGAGTTTTATGTCAGTTTGCATGCATATCTCCTGCTTCAGCAGTTTCGGCGACTCTCAGGCGTCAAAATCCATGCGTATTTGGACAAATTCGGGCGTAATCAGACGAACTTGGGCGGATTCTGGCGTATTCGGAGGAAATCGGGCGGGTCTAGAGGGTACCTGCACGGTCTGAAAAATGTTTAAGCGGTAGCTTTTCAAAGCTCTGCAAGTGGCTCTGTGAGTAATGGAACTCTTTCCTAGCGCTACAACCCATCAAACATTTGTTTAAAAAAGGTATTCGCGTATATGAATATGGCTTTGAAAATAATAAATGGTGAATATGTAATGTAAAAAAAACCTATGTCTACCTTTGAATAAAAGTTTTTATGCTATCATATATAATTTTTTAGAGAAAAGAAAATCGAGTACGACAGAATGATGAGTGCTGATGGTTTAGAGGTCCATGTAAAAAAAACCGGTATGCTTGTGGTAAAGGTTAAAGAAGTGAAGGAATTTTAAGTGTTGGGTACATTTGTTTAATAGCTTTATGGACAATAAAGAAGCTTAGCTGTTGATTTTTAGTATATTTACAAAATTCAGTTTGTTCTGTTGTGCATGTAAATAATCATGTGCGAATTATTCGTACTATAGTTATTGTCTTTGATAAGTGTCATTTTACAATTATGAAGATAACTTATATATAATTTTAAGCAAATTCTACAACAAAAATAGCGCGAACAACACAAAAGCCGCGCGCAGCCACAATATTGCGCAAACATCCACAGAGACAGGGCGACCTCCACAGTGATCGCGCCAACCGCAAAGACCGTGCATCCATAGACCGCGCACAACCACAAGGACGGGGCAAGCGTGCAGCGTTTGTATTGCTGTTGGGTGAGCGCCACAATAACGGAGCCGTGCCCATACCGACTGGGCACATTCGCGTCCATCGGATTTCCCGGAAAAGTGAAAACCGCTCGCATGGTATTTGCGGCCTGTTCGGTAATTTTGCCTGAGGTGGTGTCATTGCACAGTTGACAGAGTGTCGCGCATATACGGCGTGCGCACCGCATAGTCCTAAGTTTTATGTTTCAAACATAAAACTTGCACATACTTTAATAACCTAAAAACAATTGAGAAAATATTTTTAGGGTGGTATAAATTGCTTGAGTACACTCTAGAAAAGGAAGCTGCATATATAAACAAAAGCAACAAGTTCAGATCTCATTGGTACCTATAATAGAGGATAATGTCAGCAAACCTATTCACTTGTTGTCAAAAACTCCGAAGCTGATAATGGCGTTTACCGAAAAGCATACATACTAATTTCAAAGGCGCTAAACATACTGTGTCTAGTTGCGCTTTTTTCATTGAATGAAGTGGATGTTAGTGTTTATAGCTCATAAAACTTATTGCAGCAGCCCTCTAATGATCGCCACTGTCTTATCCATTGCAAATCATACCGAGGAGCGCCAAGCTGTACGTGAAACCTGGGCATCAGAAAGAGAATCGAAATTCATTAAAGTAAGTCAAATTTTGTTCTACGTTTCAATTTCGGCTGTGCTATAGATTTCAATTCTGGACTTAGACCAATGTCTATAGCGTACACGATCTTCCACCGCACATCTTGTGAAATAAAAGTTACTCTCATTACATCTGGTCAACATATTTGCCTATCAGTACCCCCGAGGAACCCCAAACGGAAGTTCCGCGACATCTAGATTGTAGTAATCTCTCGTCGTGGTGTTCGCGACGTTCGAAACATCGCACGTACCCAATACGCGTCGTTTCGGGCGCGATTAGTCGCGTGCCTATTTCTTATCACGGGCGTGGCGATCGCTGGACGTTGCCACTGCAGGACGTGCTCGTCCTTGCGCGCTGAGAACGTTATCACTTAAGAGGCAGAGAAATAAAAATAGTATGCCCAGCGTGGAGAGGAAGGCGCAACCGATTAGCGGTCGAGTACACCGTGTTCGTCCTGTGCGCAAGGACCGTAGATCACAGCACTAATTTCAACGCGCCAAATGTAATCGATCAGCTGATAAGCGTTCAAATGTCATCGCGCTGAGCGACTTAATCTGTTTTCTAAGCATATCTGCTGCTTCTTTGTGACTGAGAAAATGTGAGCTTAATTTGATTGCAAATCACTTCAGAAATTTACATAATCGTATCTTGTTTTGAGCCTTTTTTCTTTTTATTCTTACATCGTAACTCATTCGCGCATCAAACTACTTTTGCATGTTTTTAGTCCCCTTATTTTTTCCATCTTACAAGGGAAGGATGATAGGTCGAAGTGGCCATTTGGAATGAGCTGTATATTAGGAAACCGTCCTCGGCAAACTCAAAACTACTTTCGCTAGGTGCCGAGCGGTTTTGTGGGGGGAGTTACAAGGCCATTTTCCTCCGGCGCAGATGGCGCACCAGTGATGAGCGAGGCGCTAGAACAGCCAAGCAGTGCGGCGCTGGCGCACTGGCAAGATAGCGGACTACAAGGCAGATGGTCGAGGGTTCGGGTCCTGTTGCTGGTATTTTGTTTTGCAGTTCTGTAAAAAGTCTAACGGGTGACAGTAAACGAAGAATACTCACTTCTAGGCAGTTAAAACAAGCTATTTCTGCAAAAAGTCACTGTTTCTACAATAAGCTATAATCTTCTACAATATGTAAACCTGTGGAGGGTATGATGTCACAACAAGGGATTTAAATGCTATATTAACATGTATGGAATACAACCACAAAATGCTACAGCAGAAGAGCTTCTCGCGCGCACATCGGATAAAATATAAACGATGACAATCAGCAGCTTCACAATTGCCTATCAAAGTTGGTGAAAAACAGTACTGAATAGGAGACTCGAATTCGCTGGGGGTGCTTATCAATGTATCCGGTTGTATTGTATCCAATTGTATTGTTATCAGGGTGTATTGTATCAATGTATCCGGTTGTGGTTGTATTCCATACATGTTAATATTCACTTGAATCCCTTGTTGTGACATCATAACCTCCACAGATTTACATATTGTAGAAGATTATAGCTTTTTGTAGAAACAGTGAATTTTTTGCAGTAAATAGCTTGTTTCAACTGCTTAGAAATGAGTATTTTTCGTTTACTGTCACCCAATAGACTTTTTACAAGACTGCAAAACAAAACAGCAGCAACGGGACTCTAACCCTCGACCATCTGCTTCGTACGCCGCTTTCTTGCCACTGCGACAGTGATGCGTTGTTCTAGCGCCTCGCTCATCACTGGGTGCAGGGCCCGGCACCGATGGTTTGGGGTCAAACAGAACTTCGTTTTTGGAGTTAGAAGCAACGGGGACATCGTTTTTATGAGGTCCTGTAGGAAGCGCCAAAAAAACACGACGAACATGTCAGGTTTCGCGAGTTGAACAAGTTCTTTCGCAAGCGCGCGAATTTCAAATGCAAGACTCAAACAAACAAATGGCTTGTTTACAGCGCACAAACAATCACATGGCTCCAAATTTGGGCTATGAGTATGCAATATTACTCCAAACTATGTTATGTAAAAAGTTCCCAAAACTTATGTGTCCTAATATCCGTTCTCTATGTTGTTTGTTTCTAGACCAACTACCAAACCAACTGGGTTGGTTCGGAGCATAAATATCGGAGAGTTCACATAAGTTTTGAACCTTTTTGATTTGGAAGATTAGAACGGTCAAAAATCTATCATGTAGTGAAGAGAGCGGATCAAACCGTTGCCTCTCCCCTTTTTTGAGTCAAAAGTAGTATAATTCTACGCGTTTATAGATATCGCGCTCCAATCACTTTGAAATATGTGGCGAAAAATGCATCGCAGAATTTGAGGCTACAGATTTGGTTGGCATAGGAGATTTTCAACATTCTCAGCATCAAAATGGTACTACACCCAATGGCAGAGCCTTTAATCGAGTCGAAATGTTTTCTTTTTGCTTTTTTGTTATATTTCATACCTCAAAATGCGCTTTTTTCGCTTTTTTTGTTGCTATTTTGGTTGAATGAGGGTTTCCCTACTGATTTTCACGTCGAGAGGGACTTCGTAAATTTTTGCGAAGTCATGGGGGACTTCGTTTCCTAAAAACCTCCGAACCAACGCGTGCCGGGCCCTGTTAGCAATATATGCATGTATATTTTCTGAAATGCTGAAACGGGGTAGAAGAAAGAACGGAGAAGCAACGATATGGAAAAAGGAAAGGGGCTGAGAATGCCCAAAAACGAAAATCATCAGAAAACAAGAGCAAAGTTCCCATTTTCGCATATTCTTAATATTTGCATTTCCTAATTCGAGACAGACATTTTGTTGGATAAGCAGAGCAGAAAAGCGCTCGTTCTTCGACCGCCCTTCGAGTTCGAAGTTCTGCTGATCAAAAAGGGAAGCGAGGTAGAGAAATAAGGCCAAAATGAGAGGAATCTGGGAGAAAAACCTTGGAAAGTGTCAAAATTCTCCAACTCCCGCCGTTCAGAACGCGTGCGCATGCAGCACAATTCCGGAGCAGTTCCAGCATAGTGCGGGAACTGTGCGGGAACAGTTCCGGAACATGTGAATTAGTTTGAACCCAGCCTTTGCTCTTTAGCAATGGTAAGCGACTGTTCTGCCTGAGCAGCACGTCCTTCAGTCGAACACGTCGTGTCCTCGGTTTCTTTACATTACGACATATTTCGGAGGTTTACTACGGGCCCTAACAACTATTCTTGTGCAGGAGGTATTCGTTTGTTAAAGATGTCTTCGCCTGAATTATTCTTCTAGCAACATTTCTATACCCCTGCCATTTTCGCTGAACTAAAACATCAGCTTGATTTCCACATCGACAGCTGCAAGTGTTAATATCAAGATCGAATGGCACAAAACTCCGAACACTTTGCTTTCAAGATAGCTATCCGTATCTGGTTGTAATTTCACAAATCCCTCTTGTAGAATTTGAAAATGTTAAAGCTACTTTCAAGATGATTGTCCGTATTCGATTGCAAATAATATTAGGTTGATGCAAAAATAATGAGCGTTTTTCAAAATATTAGGTCGTTCCGAAAGTAATGTCGCTTTTTTCAAATGAACGCCACATATCATGGAATCAAGATTTTCAAGAGATCTTGGGAGTGTTCGATGCAGCATTTCATCCTCTTTCTAACGGTCGTAACTTCATTGCATGATTTTCATTGAGCTTTCGAAAAATCAACAAAATCTGCAACTCATGCTTTTTGCCATGGTCGAGTTCGGCAATTTTTAGAAATTTTTGTAGCTATTCTCCGAAGAAGTACAAGTAGCCAGTAGATAGAGCAAACCCTATGGGACACAGAATAATTCTTTTCTTTTCCTTAGCTTGCTTCTTAGAGTTTCTGGAATCAGTTTTAAAATGCCATCAAATTCCATATTTGGTCAACTCAAACCCCACAGAACAACAACCGGCAAGCAACTTGGGTGTCATTCGACGTAGCTTTTTCTCTTCTTTTTACCAGTTGTTTTTGGTTTCCGATTCATCAAGTTTTCCGAGATAAAATCATCATAACTCAGGTTTTCCAGGGCGCCTCCGGCTGTACCGGGAATCTTCGGAAGTTGCTAATCTGAAGCGGTAAACGCTCATTTGCTTTGTAAAATTAGTGCAAAACCATAATCCATTTTTGTACGTTTCAAAATCCGACAATTTCTTGGTGTTTGATACATTTGTGTCTGAGACGAGCCTGCTAAAATTCGGTGGTTCCATCAAAAAATCTATACAGAAATTATGACGAGCTTTGAAAAGCAGGGAAAAGTTGTGCTATTTCCCGTAGGGTTTGCTCTGTCCATACATAACTTGGAGTCCTTCCGGGGGTTGTTATAAAAATTTGGAAAAATTGTGAAACTTGACCTTCTCAAAAAGCATGGGTCGCAGATTCCGATAATTTTCCCAGAGGTTATTCAATTTTGTGCGGTAGTTATATAGCCATTAGAAAGAGAATGAAATGCTGCATCAAATGCTACCAGAATCTCTTATACATCTTTGTTGCACGAGATGTGGCATACGTTTGAAAAAAGCGACATTACTTTTGGAACGACCTAATATTTACCTCAACTTGCTATAGCTTCCTATAAAATCTACATTTAGAAATGGGTCAAGACCATCAGGTGCAGCGAACATTTCGCAATACAGCGCGCATTAACCTGTACTCATATCTCACATGGGCAAAAATAGATTGAAGAACAAAAACGTTTTTTTCCTGAAGTCTGGTTTTTTGGCAAAGCATAACTCACTTCACATTTTGTTAGTATATTAGCTTGTAAGTAGCCTTTTTTGTGCCGCAAGCCGGTAACACAAATAAGGTTTTGGAAATAAAAGATTCGAGGAAAGAGAAAATCGAAATTCAAAAATATCAGCTTTTTCAGCATTTTCAAAATTCCGATATAAAATTTTTCGATTTCTGCATGGTCAGGTCACAGGATGTTCTACTCTTACGATTACAAAATTGAGGAAAGCTCTTTAGCTATTGCATTCTGGAAAGAAAGTATGGGCTCTAGAATGACCACAACCATTACCCATGTTAAGGCGCCAATATCT